GCTTGAGCCCAGGAGTTTGAGGCTACGGTGAGCTATGATGATGCCACTACACTCCAGCCTGTGTGACAGAGCAAGATTGTCTCAAAAAAAAGGTAAATGAAAAATCAGTTTACAAAACAATATGCACAGTATGATCCTAATTGTTAAAATATACATATAAGTACATCAAAATGTTGATAGATGATGAGATTATAGGTGATTTTAATTCTCTTCCTTATACTTTTCGGCAAATTCCAAATTTGCTTAATAAATATGTATTATTTTCATAATCAGGAGAAAAGAAGCTATTCTCAATCATCTTCCCTCTCTTTAAGGACATTCACATGTGTTACTTCCTTTTAAAAAAGACATTTGAAAATAAAAACATTTATATCCTGCAATCTAGCAAGTTAAATTTTGAGTTTCTATCCTAAGTAAAACTCCAAATATTGAAAAGACTTTGTATAACAAGATGTTCACCACAGCATTGTTTATGATGACAAATAGAAGCAAACAACTTAAGTGTCCAACAAAAGGTATATGGTTAAGTAAACAATGGTACATTCACTTGACAGACCACTGTACAAGCATTTTAAAATGTTTACAATTACTAGCCTGGGAAAACTAATGAAATAACTAAAGCAAAAAAAAACTGAATAAAAAATATATATACCAAATATCATAACATTGTGCAAAACTCTACGTAGAGAAAAAAATATAAAAGGTTTTAAAAAACATTCACTGCATTTGGTAATGGAACTAGAGAAAATAGGGATGTTTTTCTTCAACCTAAATCTTCAATCTTCTCTTCTTTCTGAATTGTCCCATACTTTCTTTAGAGAATGAGTATTACTTTAAGAGAAAAAAAAAAAAATCTGAATCTCCCTCTGGGGCAATGAAAACATTCCCAAATGACAGAGTCCACTCCATCAGTCCCTTCCCCACACATACACACCTCTCCCAGACTAAAGACTAAGGCTGGTTCATAATGGAAGGTCAAGGGAATGAGACTCCTCTCTGTGGCCTAGGGTCTTCTCTACGGGGTCTCTGAACAAGAAGTTTCCTCTGACCAGCTGATGTCAAAAGGCCCTTTCTCCCCAAGTCTTATTCCAGCCTGAACTAATTCACCACAATCCCCAGGGCTGGGGAAAAAATTTCCACCATGGCGATTGGGAACCTGATATTTAAGTCCAAATTTTTCCTAGTCCCTTTCTGTATCAAAGAAGGCTCCTCGAAGCCTCTTAGACAACTAGCACCCAGGCCAGCTTAGCTCCCAGATCAATGCTACACTTAAGCGAAACCCTGAGTCGTCAGACATCACCAAGGAAATGTGAGAGGAGGAGCTGCAGCAGGGAAAGCCCCTGTCACACACTCTGCCCTCACACCCTGCAAGCCTCCTCCTGAGGGATATCCAGGGCTTTTTCTGGCGTCAGAACTTTTACATTCAGTTTTAAGTCTGTAATAAGCCAATGAAGAGAAAAATCAGGGTGCAAACACACCAGAGGCAGAGAGCTATCCTTTCGAAGCCTTTAGAACCCTCTACCTCCTCTCTCAAAAGAATGTCCACTACTGGCCAGAACACTAGCTTCTGAGCAACTGAGCTTGGGTAGTTACCTAGTTGGAACCAAAACACACACCGGGGATTTGTTAGACCAGAGATTGGCTCTGACACTGGTATTATCAAAGAAGAGCTCCAGTAATTGCCCCAATCCCAAACTTCTCAATACTGAACAGAATGGGAACTGCTGCTCAGATAAGGGGGTAAGGAAGGATCCCTGAAAACAGTGTAACACAGTAGCTTTACAACCTTTTTCACATCAGGGCACACATAGAAAATAATACTATTTATACAGTATATGGGGCACAAGCTGATCCCAGCGAGAGGGAACCGACTGGGGACCTTAGCTGCCCCTAGGAATAAGAGACTCAGTATCCCAGCACACCTGTGACCCATGTGTAGCACACCACAGGAAAGCCCTGGATTAAGGCACTGGGCTGAGTTAGGACTCTTACGATCAATGTCATGAAAAAATCACCTCAGGGCCTCAGACCTTGAGCTCTCCAACCTCAGCTGACAGGCTGTGGGTCAGATCATGTGTCTGCGCCAGAAAGCTGGGAGCCTGTGGTCTTGACTTAACACTGATACAACTTCCCCAGCCAGGGTGCTATTCAGGGGGGTTTCCATAGTTACACTGGGGCAGAGGAAGCTCTCCATCTGACAGCAGCTGCCTTATCTTGAGACTGGGTATACAGAATGGGGTAACTGGCTTCATCGGATTTCTAAACTTAAAACCCCTTTTTGGGAATACAAATGATCTCAGATCAGACTCTCTGCTGAGAGGTACAAAACTTAAAAGCTGCCATTTACTAAGCATATAGTAGATGCCAGACTCTGCTAAGTATATGACTTCAAATTTCATTAAATCCACACAACAACCTCATGTAGCAAATGCTATTATTATCTGCATTTATGTGAGGAAACTGGGACTCAAAGAGATTAAGTAACTTGCTTGAGGTCACTTTTCTAACTGAAGACTGTGGAGGAGACAGTACTTAAACTACTCTGACTTGTAAGTCCACATGCTTAACCAGGACACCAGTATGTCACCTCAACAAACTCCTCAAATACGTTTTTCATAAAGCAAACCAATGATAAGAAGCTGACAATCCAGGAAAGAAAAAGGTGAGAAAGGAGTAGCTTGTCTGACTGTTTCACACCACCGGAAAAGAAGCTAATCTGTATTAAGTACCTACTGGGTGCCAAGCACCTTACATACACGAGCTCACTTAATTCCTACAATCTCACCAGGACAGGGATTATTAGCCCCATTTTACAGGTGAGGAAATCTAGGCTCAGAGAAGACACTTGCTAAGACAGAGACTGCTTTTTCTACTACTGAGCTTCTCCTGATGGTTCAGGAAATACACCTGAGCCTGTACCTAGATCACACATCTAACTCGCAGTCAGTACCATTCCCAAAAGATAGTAGAAAGGAGCAATAGAAAGAGGGACCTTTAAGAGCCCCCAGAGAAGAACTCAAATCCCAAGAAAGCATGATTTCCCAGTATTAGAAAACTGAGGTAAAATCCCCTCCTCTCCTGAAATAGCTAACTAGCCCTGGCCTGCCCTCTTCCAAACCTCCATCAGCAGCAGCTCAGGCACACAGAAACAAGACCAAAACAAAAGCCATAAGGAAACAAATCAAAACTTTATACAGAAAGGAAGGCTTGCAAGTGGGTGGTCCAGTCCCCTGTTTGACCTGGGCTATCTGGGTGCTCTGGTTAGTAACCAGCACACCCCGTACATTTTGTGACTATTAATCCAACAGTTTGCTAACCAAACAAACTGGTCAACCAAGCTCCAATGAGGACATGATGGGCTGTAGTTCTGGGCTCTCAGAACAAATGGCCTGGCAGCCCCTACCTAAGGCAGCCTCCCACCCAATCCACCTCAGGCCATCCCTTTCTCTTCCATTTCTATAGCTAACTCATGCCAGCATGCTGGGGGTTTTCACACCCCCACTGGAGTGCAGATTCCCTCCCACTCTTTTCCCCAACAGTTGAGCTCTTGTTCTCAAGGGCACTAAGTCCCAGTCTCTCCTCCTCAGCCTCCAAGACCGTCACAGCGCATTAGTAATCACTGACTCACCCCATCCCCCTGAGGAAGCTGGGGGAAATGCAGAGGGCCACAGGATGTGTGGCCCAGATCCCTTTGGCCCTTAGCAGAGCTGGTAGGCAGAGGACTGCCAGTGACATTGCTTCCCCTTGGAACACCGTGGACCCTCTCTGAGCCAGCTCTGGTGCCAGTGGGCTGATGTCAGGCTTTCTACCATCGCAGAGGCCAGGATCTCTAGACAGCTCCACTGTTGCCAACAGATCTAATCTCCTTATTCCAAGGCAGATGAAATCCAGTAAGGCTGCTAAGTCCACAATTTATCCCTCCTCACAGGCAATGTTGGCCATACTAACAATAACACCAGAATTATTACTGCCTCTTAGACAGTTCTTTGGGCAACTGAGAACTATTTCCCCAAGTTTCTCAAAGATTTACCTTTGCTAGCAAATGTTTTCTTTCTCCAAAACTTCATATTCTTCCAACATATTCTCTGGCTCCATCTCAATGATGCCAGGTCAGAACCTCTCTATTCACGGAGCCAGTGACATCAATGTCCAATTCCCACACCAAAGAAGTATCCCAAAGTCAGCTCTAAAAACCCATCTACACAGACCATTTTGGAACCTACAGAAAAACTAAAAAGAAGCACAGGCAAAAGAACACGAACCAGGCACTAGGGCTTAACATGAAAAGTTCGAAGGAGGGGGGGTGGTTTGTGTACTCATTCACTTGGAAAAACCCCCCAGTGAAATGGCTTATCCACATGTTCAGCCCTTCAGACAAATCCACTATAACTTAGCAGGATGCCTGCAGGCCTTTCTGAAAATAAGTAGAATGGCATCACTCCTTATTCCACCCCCTTCAAGAGCTGCCAGCCCCCTCCCCACTCCCCCTCTCCCCTAAACATCTGGTCTGGGCTGGGAGTGGGACCCACACCCTGGGAAGCCTCCATGTTAACATGAGAGGCAGTCTCCCCACTCAGAGCTCAGAGAAGCCTGACTTAGGCTGAGGAGTAAGCCAGCCCCTAGCTTCTGAATCGCCCCCACCAGCGAGAGGCTCAGGAAGGAGAATTGTAGGGACTGGGAGACTGAAGAGGAAGTGGGGAGAAGTGAGAAGGGCGGCAGAAGGGGGAGGGAGGAGGGAGAAGCCTGGATCCTGGGGCGGTTCCGGGCTGGGGACCCCTCCTCCTAAATGTTGAGAAATTGGGGCGTCCCGAGGTCCCCAGTGGGGTAGTGCGGGCCGGCCAGCGGCTGCTCAGAGGTTCCCGGGAAGACACTGGAAGCCAGGATCTGTCGGCGCCCTGACTGAAGGGGTGGGAGGGACAGGGGCCCAGCACAAAGTCCCAACCGGGGCGTCGGGACCTGGGGGGCAGTAGGAGGGGGAAGGGGCTGGGCTCGGCTCTCACCAGCACCAGGGCGAACCTCTCCTCCAGCTCACAGGGCTCAGGCATCGGCATTTTGCCGGGCGGCAGCAGCAGCGGAACAGAGGGAGGCTCTCCCGGGCCCCCCTCGGCGCTCTCCAGGTTGCCCATCGCAGCGGGGCCCCCTCGGGGGCCTCAGCCCCCTACCTCCACTCCCGGGGGCCTTGGGCTAGGCTGCTCAGACCAGGCTCCTCCCTCAGCGCCGGCTCCCGAGTCCCGACTCCTCGGCCTCGGGAGGGGTGCCGGGGGCTCCTTGGAGTCCCGCCCGGCGCACGGCGAAGGCGCAGGCAGTGCAGCGGAGAGCAGCACCGAAGCGACGGAGACTGCGGCGCCCAGCTCTAGCTCACACCAGCGGCTCTCGGCGCTCCGCTCGGGCGCTGCCCCTCCCCACCCCCCGCGCTCTTTCCCTTTCCCCCCACCTCGCTTCCTCCCACCCACTCCCGGCCGGGACTCGGGCTTCCCCCGCGAGCGCCGACTGCAGCCCGCGCGCCGCGCGTCCCATTCATGCAGGCTCCGCCTCCCGCCTCCCGCCTCCCGCCCACAGGCCTCCAGGCGGCGCGCCCCGCCCCGCCTGCGCCCGATTGATGACCGCGTCTACCAATCACAGCGCCTCCCGCCCTCGGCGGCCTCGTGCCTAGGGCCGAGCACACCCTGGCGGCCGTGGCAGACAGTGAATCGTCGCGGTTGCTGCCGGGCGTGAGGCGCTGGCCGGGACACCAGGGGGATGGACCCTGCCCTTTTTCACAAGGAGCTCATAACGTGTACAAGTAAGTAAAATATAGGGCACCATGTACAAAGCAAACTACAAAAGAGGTAGAAATAACTAGGATACTCAGAAGAGGGAGAGAGGCCACATCTGTTAAGAGTCATCAAGAGGGAGATCATACTTAACTGTTAGTTGAGAGGACCCTTAACTGACAGAGACAGCTGAAAAGGCACTTAGGAGGAGAGAACCTTAACAACGTTCAGAGGTTCAGCTGGCTGGGTGTGAAAATGGAGGGGCAAGAGGATGCTGTTCTGGGCTCAGCGTGCTAGTGGGTCATCACTGATGATGTGGTGGATATCTGGTGTTTCTGCCAGTCTAGCCTCCCGCCCTCTTCTTTCTTTTAGGGAACCACTTATGCCCTGTTCTCAGTCCAAGTGGAGCTGAACTTCACTCTTGTTCCAGCAGGCCCCAGCAGTCACAACATTTTCCTTCTCTACCCTCAGACACTGTTTTAGGGCTTGTCATTTGACCCGAGCCCAGGCTATAAGACTCATATCCAAGGCTTTCACTGGAACAATCAGGAAAGAAGCACTTTCTTTCCATTTGAGCTGCTGAATTGTTAGAATGCAGCTGCTGGTAGCCGTCTTATCCATCACCTATCACACATTAAGCCTGCTTGAGAATGAAGCCAATGCAGAGGAAAGGAAAGCTAAGAGAGAGACACAAAATTCTAATTACATGCTTAGGACCTGGATCTAACCATGTCTGAAGTTATCACCTAGACTTTTCATTCATTTATTCAACAAATATTTATTAGAAAGCTCATTATGTGTCAGATACTGTGCTGGGCACTGAAGATACATCTGTGAACAAACAGGACATACATTTTGCCTTCTTGGAATTTACATGCTGTGTAGCAGGAGAGGTAGACAATAAACTAAATAAGTAAAATGCATAGATGTTAGTGGTCAGTGTTAATAAAACTGGAAGGGGATAGAAGTGGAAGAGGTATTAAAATTTTCAATAGGATGATTATTAAGGAAGGCCTCACTAATAAAACACCATCTGAGTAAAGATCTGAAGGAAGTAAGGAAGTAAGCCATGTGGATATCTGGGGAAGAATTAACCAGACAGAGGGAATGACAAGTGCATACTATGCCTAATGTGTTAGAGACCCAAAGAGGCCAGTGTGGCTGGAGTGCAATGAACAGGGAAAAGAGTAGTAAAAGAGGAAGTTGGAAAGGTACCAGAGCCATATTGTATAGGGCACTGTAGGCTATTGTAAGGACTTTCGTTTTTCTCTTAGTAGGATAGGTAGCCATTGGAGAATTTTGAGCAGAGGAATATTATGATCTAACTTACATTTTATAACAGGATCACTTTGGCTCTTGCACTGAAAACACACCGAATAGATGTATGAGCAGGGAGAGCAGTTAACAGGCTATTACAATAATTCAGGTGAGAGATGATGGTGCCTTGGACCAGAGTGGTACCTGTATAGGTGGAGAGAAATGGTCAGATTCATTATGGATTTGAAAGTGGAGCCAACAGAATTTCTTGACGGTTTGAATGTGAAGGATAAATGAAAAATAACTCCAAAGTATTTGACCTGAGCAAGTGGGAGGATGGAGTTTTCATTAATGGAAATGAGGGATGATTATGGGAGGAGTAGTTTTTGTGAGGGAGAATTGGAAAGAGAAGATCAGGAACAGGTTTTGACCACAATTGAGTTTGATTTGCCTATTGGACATCCAAGTAGAGGTGTCCACTAGGCAATTGGATATGAGTCTAGAGATCCAGGCTGGTGATATAAATTTGGAAATCATCAGCATATAGATGCTACTAAAGCTAGTAGATTCTTTTTCTAAATCAGTCTGCCTTGGGTTTCTGTTGTTTACAACCAAAAAGCAGAATCCCTGTCTTTCCAGACCATTGAAACCCTCTCTTGTGAAGCTCAGCCTCTTCTAATCAGTTGGATAAATTAATCAATTCACATCTTATCTCCTTTTCTCCCCACCCTCACCCCCACAACCCCAAATACATACTCTCCTAACTTCTGTGGCAGACTTTTTTGGGCAGAGGGGTTATAACAAGACTGTAGACTAGACAAAAATTGAGAATTCAAGAGGAGAAATAATTCATCAGTCATTCATCAGAGATGCTCAAAGAACATCTAGCAGAAAGAGGAAAGTTGATAGGACAGCAAACAGCACTGTATTCACTTTTGTGGGTCTCTTGGTCCCCAATCTTTTATTTTTTTTTTTTTGCTTGCCTCAAACTTACCCACCAGATTTACATATCCTAGAGTCTTCTGGAAGATTACTGCTTTCATTGTTAACTCTGTGCTTACTCACATTCAATGCTTTCTTACTTTCTACAGCATAAAACTAAAACTTGTTAATCTGGTATTCAAGGGTCTATATCATCTCCAAACCCTAACACCTTCAATCTACTTTTCCTGCCTCACCCAGCTCTAATCAAATCAACTCTTTGCTTCATCTGGGAAGGTCCATCTCCAAACATTAGTTGCTCGTTCTTATGTCTGTAGCTTTGCTCCTTGTGGTAGACAGAATAATAGCTCCCCAAAGTGTCCATGTCCTAATCCCCAGAACCTGTGAATATGTTATCTTACATGGCAAAGGGACTTTGTAGATGTGATTAAGGATCTTGAGATGGGAAGATTATCCTGGAACATCCAGGTGAGCTCAGTGTAATCACCAGAGTCTTTATAAGAGGGAAGCAGACAGGCCAGGGTGAGGGAGGGAGGTGCGATGACAGAAGCAGAGGTCAAGGTGATGTGGAGCCATGAGCCAAGGAATACAGCAGCCTCTAGAAACTGAAAAAGTAAAGGAAACAGATTCTCCCCCAGAGCCTCTAGAAGGAACATAGCTCTGCTGACACTTTAATTTTAGCCCTATAAGACCTATTTTCAGACTTCTGACCTCTAGAACTATAAAATAGTAAATGTGTGTTGTTTTAAGCCACTGTCTGGTAATTTGTTAGAGCAGTCATAGGAAACTAATGCAGTTCTACTGATCTGGATTTCTCCTTCCTCCTACTCAGATTATCCAAATCCCACCAGGCTCACTGCAATCTTTACTTTTTAACAAAATGCAACAAACACTTATTGGGTGTTTATCATGTGCAAAACATCTGGCTAGATACTAGTATATAGAGAAAGAATGTAAAATACAAATATGAACAAGAGACACCCCCCCACCACTGACTTCAAAAGAGCTCAAAGTCTAGAGCAGAGGAGGCAAAGTAGAGAGGAGGAAGGGCAGGGACCAAATGTGAAGGTACCAGATAAGATTATTGGTGTTATTAATATATTTGTGGGTACTGGCTTTTAAATTCTGTCCTGGAGTTCTTCCGAATTCAAATGATCATGACTCTTATTTTCTCTGCTTTTCATTTGAAACTTAATTCAACAACATTTACTGACGCCTACTACATACAAAACACTGTGCTAGTCCTAGATGCCATGGAAGATGTGTAGATATGTAACTCCTGGATCCTTAATGGCCTTGTGCTGTTTAATTTTTTGTCTATGTCTTGTCTGGACTGTGGCACTTATTTGTTTATTTACTTAAGTAATATGTGTCCAATACCTCTTTTGTTTCAAGTACTAAGAAAGATCCAGCGATGAATAAGTGACTTTCTTCCAGGTGCTCACAATCTAGTAGGAATCTATCAGGCACTCAAACTAATGTTTACAAAACAGTGTGATAAATGTTGTAATAGAGGGGTGTACAAAGTGCCACTGAGAAGACTGGAACAGATCTACAAAGGAAGGCTTTGGGGAGTAGATGATACTTGAGCCGGGGCTTAAGGATGAATAAATATGCCAGATGGAAAAGTAAGAACAGAGTGATGAGTGATGATCAGGAAGGAGAAAAGGCATTCTGGGAGGTGGGAACAATACAGGTAAAAATGAAGAACCGTGAAAGAGTGTGGAATGTTTGAGCAGTGTTAAGAAATTCAGTGAGGCTGAAGTGTAGGATGTGTCCTGGGAGGAGAGGAGATAAAGCTAGAAAGGCAGGACTAATCAAGTTTAGGAACTTTGTGCTCAGCTGAGTAGTTTGCCCTTTATTCTGCAGATAGTTCTGTGTCCTGGACAGTTTTAAGTAAGCTCTTTGGAAAGATTTCTTTAGGAGTGTTTGAGAATACAAAGAGGTCTACAGAAATGATATCAAATCAGAGCAGGGAGATGAAAAGAAGTAAAGTTGGGGAAGGAAATATACCAAGATAGAATCAACCAGACTTATCAGATAATGCCTATCAGATAATAATAGTGACTAATAGTTTTACAGTGTTTTGTATTTTTTCACGTCCATTATCTGATTTGATCTTTGTAACACCATAGGAGGGAGATATTATCATTATTCTCACTTTATAGATGAGTAAACAGACTAAAAG